GAGATCAAATAAGGGCAGAACAATTTGCATTTTGCCGGGGTGTCCTATAATGACAATAATTTCCTGAATGTTTTCAGGATGCCCGCTTTAGCCATAGGTTCCTCTCTGGCCACTTCTCTCCAGCCCCAATCTCAAGTCTAACTCATCATCTCTGGCCTGGGCTACACCTACAGCCTCCTAAGGGAACAGCCTCTGCTCTGATTCACCTCCAGTTTATTCTCACCATACAGACAAAGCAATCTTCTAAAAATGCAAATGCAATTGCACTGCACACCACCTACTCAAAACATTTAATGGCTTTTTACTGACCTCATAATAATACCCCTACCCTTAATCTTACAAGGTTTTTTGTGATCCGATCCCTGTTTTTCTTCTCCTAACTTATCTTACCCTCTCCCCCTACAATCAACTCAAGAGATTGACTTTCAGTTTCCCAAATGATTTTCTCGATTTGCCCAAATTGCTTCTCTCTACCTAGAATGCCTTAAAACTAAAACTCACTCCCTCCCTTCTACCCATCCTCCTTAACTTGGCTAACTAGTATTTATTCTTCGACTCTCAAGTGAGATATCTTTTCTTTTGGGAAACTATTCCTGACAGTACAGGGCTGGGCTGAACCACCCTCCTGGCTGCTCCAGAGCGTCCTCTGCTACCATTCCCCTCACATTTACCGTATTTCTTCATAACAGGTTTGCACATCTTCCCGTCTACCGTGAGCTCCTGGCACACGAGGACTTCCTCTGACACAACAATGTATCCCCATTTCTTCACACAGTTCTTGGTACTGAGCAGCACTAGATCAAAACTTACTGAGTAAATGAATAAATAAATCATAAAACACAACTGATATTATCCAAGAAGCCGTAAGATTCTTGAGGCACAAAGTCTTAGGAGAGTAGATTGTTTTGTATCAGCCATATCCCTTTTTGTTTTTCTGAGATGGTGTCTCACTCTGTCACCCAGGGTGGAGTGCAGTGGCACAATCTCAGCTCACCACAACCTCCACCTCCTGGGTTAAGTGATTCTCCTGCCTCAATCACCCATGCAGATGGGACTACAGGTGCCTGCCACTACAACTTTTTTTTTTTTCTTAGTAGACAAGGGTTTTGCCATGTTGGCCAGGCTGGTCTTGAACTCCTAATTGGATACACTGAGTTTCTCTTCAAAGGTTCCGCTTGTTCAACTCCCTCTTTATTCTTTGTCCTTTATTTTCAAAGCCTAACTTGTCTCCTCGCCCCTAGTTACAGTAAGCAACCTTCCAGTCATTCCCAATTTGTAACCCACATCTGTTCCTTCTTTGGCACCCTTACTAGCGAAACTCTCTTCCTGCCGCTGCAGCCTCCACCCCTGCTCCATTTGAAGTAGCCAATCAGGATCAGCTTAGACTGTGCAGACTGACTCCAGCCAATGGGGACCAGACACAGTAGCAGGGGCCAACTGCGTTAAGGGAGGGAAAAAAAACACCCTTCTGCAGAAGTAAATTTGCCTTGTTGAGAAATCTTTTCTTCAAGTACTGGTTTTCTTTGTGACTCTGAACTCTTATTTCCAACATCCTGACCTCAGGTGATCCACTGGCCTCAGCCTCCCAAAGAGCTGGGATTATAGGTGTGAGCCACCATGCCTGGCCAGCCATATCCCTTTTATCAAGATGTTGTCCACCATATGCTCTCGAGTCAAGTTACTACCAGGCACAGTGGCTCACACTTATAACCTCAGCACTTTGGAAGGCCAAAGCAGGAAGATTCCTTGAGCTCAGGAGTTCAAGACCAGCCTGGGCAACATAGGGAGATCCCATCTCTACAAAATTAATTTTTAAATATTAACTGGGACTGGTGGCACACACCTGTGGTCCCAGCTACTCAGGTGGAAAAATCATCTGAGCCCAGGAGGTCAAGGCTGCAGTGAGCCATGACTGTGCCACTGCACTCCAACCTGAACTAAAAAGCAAGACCCTGTCTCAAAAAACAAAAACAAGTTATTGTTTTATGCAAACAGACTTTGAACTTGGAGCAAGTGACCTAGACAATCTTCTTAACCACAGCAAAGAAGTTCTGAAACAAACAAACAAAAGCAACTTTTACTTTTCACAGTGTTTCTTGTTTCATTCCAGATGATTAAAATGAAACGGCTTTCATGAAGGGACTATTCAGTTTCTGGCCCAGATAAGGTGACAAACAAGGTATAGTAGGACATCTAGTGACTAGCAATGGTGAAAAGCTATTAGCACTCTCCCCGTTTCCAGGGCCCATTGAGACAAAGGAAGGAAACACTTATCAGAGCCCAGTGAGTAAGAGTTGTACCTAGGATGCAGCTACAGCTGGATATACCATGGCAAAGCAGGAAGACAGCTGGGAAGAGCTACCCTGACCGCCATTGAATCCACACTCCCATCTTCCCACATAACCTCTCATTGGCTGAACCTGAAAGCTGGCTGGGAAGAAAGCATGGACAGTGTAGTTCACTGGCCTCAGTGGAGCAGGGCAGTTCACTGGCCTCAGTGGAGCAGGGCAGAGCATGAAACTGACAGGGACCCGAGGCACAAAGAATCACCAGCATCTCACCTCACCAGCAGCTGTGAGAGCAGGACTGCATCATCTCTATGTCCTTAGAAAAGTGTAGTTAAGAAATAGAAAATACAGAGATTTTATTAAGTAATTTAAATGTACAGAAAAATCCAGAAATAATATAACAGACACCCATTTGTGGTCAACCCAGATGTAACACATTAACTTTTAGTGATGTGTTGTTTCAGAGTTGTTATTCTTTGTTTTTTAAGGACAATATTGTAGATATAGTTAAGATCAGTCTCATAGGTCAGGTGCAATGGCTCATGCCTGTAATCCCAGCACTTAGGCAGGCCAGGGCAGACAGAGCACCTGAAGCCACAATGCACCTGGCCAACATGGTGAAACCCGAGTCTCTCCACTAAACACACACACACACACACACACACACAAATTAGCCAGGAGTGGTGGCACACACCTATAATCCCCATTACTCAGGAGGCTGAGGTATGAGAATCACTTGAACCTGGGATGTGGTGGTTGCAGTGAGTGGAGCTTGTGCCACTGCACTCCAGCGGGGTGATGGTGTGAAACCCTGTCTAAAAAAAAAGAAAATTACTCTCCTGTCTCTCTTCCATTTCTCCCCTCTCTCATCTTCTCCAGAGATACACTATCATTAAGTCGGTGTGTATTCTTCCATCTATACTTTTGCTACATCTATTTGTATCTATAAACAATGTATAACATCGTTTTATGTCATTTCTTTACATTTACAAACTAGTCCCATACTACGATCTTTTTCATATCTTACTTTATAAACTCAGTACGTTTCTGACATTGTGTTGATACATATAGATCTGATTAGTTTATTTTGACTTCTACATGGTTTTCTATTTCATAGAAAACATTCCCTTTGATTGCCAATATACTGAAATGTACTTTTACTACTTGTGTATTTCTACCTGTGCTTTTTGTTTGCTGGCCCTTTTTTGGAAAAGGGAGGGTATCGTGTTCTCTTTATTCCCTCTATTTTCCCATAGCCATTTAGGAAATTACAGACTTTTCTTATCTTAAATTTTACAATGGGTGTGGTGGCTCACACCTGTAAACCCAGCACTTTGGGAGGATTAGGTGGGTGGATGGTTTGAGCCCAGGCATTCAAGACCAGTCTGGGCAATATGACAAAACCCTATCTCTACAAAAAAAATACAAAAATTAGCTGAGGGTGGTGGTGCACACCTGTAGTCCCAGCTACTCAGGAGGCTGAGGCAGGAGGATCTCTTGAGCCTTATAGGCTGCAGTGAGCCAAGATCTCACCACTGCACTCCAGCCTGGACAACAGAGCAAGACCTTGTCTCTAAATAAATGCGAAAATAAATAACACAAATTTAAAAATAAAAAAATAATCTTAAAATTTTAACCTGCAAGGATGACAAATAAATCAGGATATTAAAATGTTTTAGTTCTGCAGTCAGGTGCAGTGTGGCTCACGACTGTAATCTCAGCACTTTGGGAGGCTGAGGCAGGTGGATCATTTGAGGTCAGGAGTTCACAACCAGCCTGATCAACATGGTAAAACCCCCATCTCTACTTAAAAACACAAAAAATTAGCCAGGTGTGGTGGCTTGCGCTTGTAATCCCAGCTACACAGGAGGCTGAGACAGGAGAATCGCTTGAACCTGGGAGGAGGAAGTTGCAGTTAGCCAAGATGGCACCACTGCACTCCAGGCTGGGCAACAGAGTGAGACTCCATGTGAAACAAATAAATAGCAATGTTTTAGCTCTGGATTAGCCTCTCCTATCTTCCATGTTATTGTTGTCTAGAATTTTAATTCTGCCTCTTTAATCCCAACATCTAATCATTTTAAAATTTATTTTTTGTTGAAGTTTAGCAAATAGATGAGCAAGGTAGGCTGCATACTGAGAGTGGCAGACTCCTCTGAAGGAGGCAAGAGAAAATTCTGGAACATTTCAAATGCTCAGCTTGGGGGAAGGTTAGTTCCAAATGGACTCAAGGCTGCAGGAGGTGACATTTGAGGCTGGCTTGAAGATAAAAGGTGGTAACATTAATTCACATGGGGAGGTGGGAAGGCAGGCGGAGCAGTGAGGTCATGACCAGCGTTATGAATGCACAGAGCACCTTTCAGGAACACAGGGAGCTTGGTGAAAGGCAGGGCACAGGGGTACCTGGGGCTAGGGGACAACCTTCTCTGGCTATGATTTGGCATTTTCCTCCCTAATTTTCCTAAGAGACTCCTGCCAACCCAGAGGAGCAGGGCAGATAGAGCCAAATTCTCTTAGAGGTGGGCATGGGAAGGGGGGCTGAGACAGAGCACCCCTGGAAGTTATTAGAGTGCCAGATCCTATTGGAGATGGGCATGAGGGGTCAGGGGGTACTGAGACAGATCACCCCTGAAGGCTGTTAGAGAGCTGTTCGGTCCTCACACCTGTTACCCCCAGTCAGTCAGTCAGGTCTGTCCAAGTGCTGTGACTTACCTTACCCACCCAGAAGAGACACTGCATGGTACAGCGGGGAGCCCAGACCTAGAAAAGTCCTGCAGTTGATTAACTGGCTTTTGCTCTTCCAATAATCCAGTCGATGAGGGATCTGTGGCCTGTCTCCTAATGCTCTGAGACTCTGTGCCCAGCCCAGGTCCGTCTGTTCTGGAAACAAAGGCCCAGATCTCTGTATTTCCTTCTTGCTGTTTTATGTTTCTGAGACAGAGTACATATGTACATATGTGCACATTATGTAGAGATGTACAATGTATACACGTGTGCACATTATGTACAGATGTACATAATGAGCGCTATGCCCACAGCCCCCGCCAGAGGGTGAGTAGCAGCACCCTGGCCCCTCCCCAGCTGCTACAAACTCTCTGGCTAGGGGGCTGTGCCCACAGTGGCTATTTAGAAAATCTGGAGTAATATGATATTGGGAACCATATCATAGGGAGAAAATGTTATTGTGTTTCTTTGTTGATATTAGGCACAACAACACTAGTTCTAGTTCCACCACTGCGATATTGACAAAAATATCATCCTCATCCTGCCCTTGACATTAGAATTGAAATCGGGGAGGGGGGGTTTCACCCCTTGCAATATTTAATTCAGCGTAATTATTATTTTGTGGACCTTAGTTACAATATCAGAGCGTAGTGTACACCTCTTGCCATACTGAATTACCACATGGGCAGTAACATCATCCTCTCCTTCCCTGGATATTAGGAACAATATCACAGGGCAGGTGTACAGCCCCAGTCACATCATAAGTAATGTCATCTGTAACCCCTTGGTCATTAGGAACAATATCACTGGGGGTTTGTGCGCTTCTTGAGATATTTGAAGTAATATCCTCTCCGTTTTTGGATATTCGAAACAATATTACACTGGTGGCGTACACTTCCTGCGATATTCAGGGTATAATCATCCTCTGTCTCCCGGATATTAGGAACTATATCACAGAAGCGTTGTACACCACCTGTGATATTGGAACAATCACAGGGTGTACACTTGCTTTCACAATGAGAGTAATACCTACTTAGGATATGATGGATAATATCACAAAATGTACACACATGGGTGTATATACACTTTGATACTAGCAGTAATTTTTATCTAATATACTAAAAACAATATCCCAGAACAGTCATAATGTGTACATTTATTGGGATATTATAACAAATGTATACAGTAGGTACAATATGTACATTCATTGTGATGTACATGTGTACACAATACATATGTACATATAAATGTACATTATATACACATTATGTACATTTAGCTGTGTATTTTGAAAAAGTTGTCTCTGATGAAGTTAGAATGAGTGATGTGTGTCCACTTGAGTTGAGCATTCTTTTAGTAATAAAGAATTTGGTTGTATTTTAATTCTTTAGAACTGATTCTTATTCTTGTCAATCAACTGTGAATCTTCTGTGTTAATTTCTAGCAGAGGTAATAGAGTTAATCCAAAATCATAGGTGTATTAAAGTTCAGATTGACAAGTATACTCAACAAACCAGGCACTGAGCTGAAAAAGGGATCGTTTCCCAGTGGGCCTTAAGGCCCATATAAATCACTGTGCAAAAATCGAGAAACAGAGACAGAAAGTGACTCGCCTAAGGCTTGTCACTTGAAAGTGAGTGGCTGACTGACTGACAGAGGGATGGAAATCAAATCCAAATCTCCTGACCTCAAATTTCAGAGGGTGCACTGCCTCCCCAAGGCCCAATTTTATAGTTAAATGGCTTAACAAGGGCTTTACTGGATTGAAGTCAACATTAAAAGACATTAGATTTCATCGGCACAGTCTGTGGCCCACTGTCTTTAATGAGAATTTGCCCAGTTAAAATTTTAACATTGGGTTTTACCTGAGAGATCCTGACTTTTCGCCTGAACTCTTGAAAAGGCTTAATTAACTTAGGAGTTCCTGCTACAAAGTAAGAGTCAAGAACCCTCTTCAGCAAAGGTGAGCTGGACTCAGTGGTAAATGGGAAATGAGCTGGTTTCAAACCATCCTCTCACCAATCATCAAGATAAATTTCTTATAACATACATGTATTGTTTTTCTAGGAGGGCTGGGGGTTATCCAAGGTTCTGAGTAACATGCTACCACAGGAAGAAGGAGGTGCTGCTCAGTCCTGGAGACAGACAGACACACACACACACACACACACACACACACAAAAGGAGGTGCTGCTCAACCCTGGACACATGCACGCGCGCGCGCACGCACACACACACACACACACACACACACACACACACAAAAGGAGGTGCTGCTCAACCCTGGACACATGGACGCGCGCGCGCGCACACACACACAAGTCTAGACACACAACTGGTAGTGTCCAGCCAAATACTTACTGGTATGAGGAGGGCTCTGAACCCATCCATGCTCCAAAGGAAGAGACACCTTTTCCCAATTCACACGTCCATTCGCTCTCCTTCTCCCCCAACCCTGCCTCCTCCTCAAGCCCACGCATTATTACATAGAACACAATTAGGCAGGGCTATCAGGTTAAAGCATTGTCAATGATGCTCTCACTAAAAACAACAGCACAGTCAAACAGAGAGCATGCTTGCATATGAAATGTGATTAATTCTTTCAGACATGGCTCATGATGACTGGGGCCACAGCATCAGAGCTCTGCTCTGCACCAAGCCTAGCTGTGTGCCTGGCCACCTCCCAAAGTGCTTCACACTCTCATTTCACCTTCAGAGGCAGACAAGAGGACTGCAAAGGACTCATGTGTCTCCGACTCCCATTTCTCCTGGGGACCAAAAGTAACAACAAAAGTAGCTTTTTATTTGTAGAACCCACAACTTTTTCATAATACACAGCCAAAACTGTCACATGTAAATGTACATGTGTACATAATACATATGTACATGTGTATATGTATATTTACTGTAATATCACAATGCTATCACATATAATCACAATATATATACAATACGTATCACAATAAATGTACATATTGTTCACATTAAATACACAGTGTACACATGTACATGTGTTGTGTATACATTATGTACCTATACATTGATATTATATGTACATATGTACATATATGTGCACATTACGTACATTATGTACAATATGTACATGTGTACATGTATATGCACATTATGTACATATATACAGTAGGTACACGTGTACATATAGGTATACATATGTACAATATTTACAACTATATGTTCACATTACATACATATATACAATATGTACATGTGTATATATGTACACATGTACAATATGCATGTGCATATATGTGCACATCATGTACAGTATGTACACGTGTACATATGTACACATTTATGTTAATATCACAATGTCTGTTGTGACAAGGAGTTTTGCTCTTGTCAGCCAGGCTGCATTTTTAAAGAGGCAAGACAACACACACTACAGTGAGGGATCTTAAAGGCCTGTTTTAGAGGGAAAATGGCAAGTGAGCTACAGCGAGTGCACATGTGTAGATCCCAGTTCCAGCTCTGTCAAGACAGCTAGAGAATACACACACACACTCCCCAGCCCATACACGGATGCAAAGGCACACAGAAAGGGGGAGACCCCAAAGGTTTGTCAGCCATGTCCTCTGGGGAGGGGAGGGGGGAGAGGTGGGAGCAGAGGGGCTGTGCACATTTAACTTTATTAAAGATATATGTACTGGTTGAGTGTTTTACCAAATCGCATTGATTGTTCACCAGCATTATAATCAAACTGACCTGCACACCTTTGAGGGTCTCTCTTCTAGCTGGGGAGATGTCAGAACTGAGACAAAATGTCCCTTGGGGAAGGGCAGACACTGAGGGAGGTAAGTGGGACTTCCTGCACCAGCCACCACTCTGGGCATCAGGAGAGGTGGCAAACAGGCCAGTTTCCTCCAGGAAGCAGCTGTTGGAGCAGAGGGGCAAGCCTCCCACGCGATCCGGACACGAGTACTCCACACGGCACAGGCAGAGACATCTGAAACACAGGAGGGGGTGCTGACCCAAGGGAGGGCAGGACCAGGGGATGTGCTAGTCAGCACAGCCGGGGCACACAAACCAGCAGTATTAATTTGGGAAAAACTAAATCATTCAGTTTAGTAGTTTGAATACAAAACGAGTAGTTTGCATGCAAATGTGTGTGGCGGGGGTGTGTGGTGTGTGCGTGAGATACAGTGTGTGTGGTGTGGTGAGTAGGAAGTGTGTGCTGTGTGTGTGTTTGGTGGCGGGGCATGCTGGAGGGTGTGGTCAGTGTATGGAGTGTACTGTCTAGGGTGTGTGGTATGTGGTGTATGTGATGTGAATGTGATAGTGCGTGGAGTATGATGTATGGAAGGGGTGAGTGTGTATGTATGTTTTATGTGCATGGTATAGTGTATGCAGTGTGTGGTAAATATGGGGTGTGTGTAACTGTGGTTGTATGAGGTGTGTGTAGTATATGTGGTGTGTATGGGGTGTGCATGGTATGTATTAGGTGTGTATGGTGTATGTATGTATGATATTGTGTGGTGTGTGTGGTATCTATGTAGTATGAATAAGTTATCTGTGGAATGTGGTGTGTTGTACGGGTGATGTACTACGTATGTGGAATGTGGTGTGCTATGTTTATGGTATTTATAAAGTGTCTGTGTGTGGCATGTATGGGGTGTGTGGTGTATATGAAATGTACATGGTGTATGTGTATGATATTCTGTGGTGAGTGTGGTATGTGTGTTGTGTGTATATAAGGTGTGTATGGTGTATATGGGGTATATGTGTGGTGTGTGGTACGTGTAAAGAGTGCATGATGTGCATGAAGTATGTGTGTAATGTTTGTGAGGTGGACCTATGTGTGTGGTGTATAAGGGGTATGTGTGGTGTCTGCAATGTGGGTTTAAAATGTGTATGGTGTCTGGCGTGTACGCGTTAAGTGCGTAGTGTCTATGAAGTGGGCATGGTATACACATGGTGTGTGTGAGGGTTATACACATGTGGTGTGTATGGGGTGTGTTTGTGGTGAGTGGGTGTATATGGGTTCAATGTGTGTGGTGTGTGAGGTGGGCATGGTGTATATATATGGTGGGTGGTGTGTGTGAGGTGGGTATGTGTGTGGTATCTGTAGTGTATATGGGTTAAGTGCATGGTGTGTATGAGGTGGGCATGGTATACATGTGGTGTGTGTGAGGTGGTTATAATATGCATGTGGTGTGTATGGGGTATGTATGTGAGGTGTGTAGGTGTGTGTGAGGTATGTGTGTTGTGTGTGAGGTATGTGTGTTGTGTGTGGTGGGTATGATACATGTGTGGTGTGTGTGAGGTGGGTATGATACATGTGTGGTATGTATGAGGTGGGTATATGTGTGTGGTATGTGTGAGGTGGGCATCGCATATATATGGTGTGTGGTATGTGAGGTGGGTATATGTGTGTGGTGTATATGGGGTGTGTGTGTTGTGCATGAGGTATAAGTGTGTGTATATGTAGTGTACATGGATTAAGTGTGCAGTGTATATGAGATGGGTATAATACGTGTGTAGTGTATGTGAGGTGGGTATGACATGGGTGTGATGTGTGTGTAGTGTATATGGATTCAGTGTGTGGCATGTGTGAGGTGTGTGTGCAGTGTGTGTGTGCTATATATGGGTGTGTGGTATATGTGAGGTTGGCATGGTATATATGTGGTGTGTGAGGTGGGTATGTATGTTGTGTGTGGCATGTATGGGATATGTGTGTGAGGTGGGAATGATGTGTGTGTGGTGTGTATGGGTTAAATGTGGCATATGTGAGGTTGGCATGGTATATATGTGGTATGTGGTGTGAGGTGGTTGTGTTATGTATATCGTGTGTAAGGTGGGTATGTGTGTGGTATGGATACGACATGTGTGGTGTGTGTTGTATATGGTTAAGTGTGTGGTGTGTCTGAGGTGGGCATGGTATAGATGTGGTGTGGGGGGGTATAATATGTGTATGGTGTGTGCGGTGTATATGAGTTAAGTGTGTGGGGTGTGAGGTGGGTATGATATGTGTATGGTGTGTGTGAGGTAGGCATGGTATACATGCTGTGTGTGGTGTCTACGGGTTAAGTGTGTGGTGTGTGTGAGGTGGACATGGTATATCTGTGGTGTGTGAAGTGTGTATGTGTTGTGTGTGGCACGAATGGGGTATGTGTGTGAGGTGCATATGATATGTGTATGGGGTATGTGTGTGAAGTGGGTATGATACATGTGTGGTATATGAGGTGGGTATCATATGTGTATGGTGTGTGTGAGGTGGGCATGGCATGTATGTGGTATATGAGGTGTGTATGTCTTGTGTGTGGCATGTACGTGGTACGTGTGTGAGGTGGGTATGATATGTGTATGGGGTATGTGTATGAGGTGGGAATGACGTGTGTGGTGTATATGAGTTAAATGTGTGGGGTGTGTGAGGTGGGCATGGTTTATAAGTGTTATGTGGTGCGTGAGGTAGGTATGATATACATGTTGTGTGTGGTGTGTATGGGATGTGTGTGGGGTATGTGTGAGGTGGATATGATATGTTCCTGGTGTGTCAGGTGGGTATGATATGTGTATACTATGTGTGAGGTGGTTATAGCATGTGTGTGGTATATGTGGTGTATCCATATAAATTCAATGTGTTGGGTGGGCGTGGTGTAAGATGTAGTGTATGGAGTGTGAGGTGGGTATATGTGTGTTGTGTATGGTGTGTATGGGGTATGGGTGTGGTGTCTGTGAGGTGGGCATGGTATGTGTGTGATGTGCGTGAGGTGGGCATGGTATGCATGTGGTGTGTGTGCTGCTTATGGGTTAAGTGTGTGGGGTGTGTGAGGTGGGCGCGGTATATACGTAGGGTATGGTGTGTGAGGTGGGTAGACATGTTTGTTGTGTGTGGTGTGTATGGGCCATGTGCATGGTGTGAGGTGGGCATGGTATTTGTGTGGTGTGTGTACGTATGCACACACATGCATACCTGTGCACTGCAGATGACAGGCAGGCCGGCAGCCTGGTACACGCAACAGTGACCAGCTCAGCCAAGGCAGGGCTCGGGGCAGGAGTGGCCAGGCCCCTGGCAGCTCAGGATCTTGGAAGCACTAAGAGCCTAGAAGGAGAGAACAAGCTGTGTCACCATCTCCACCCAAGTTCATCACCAACATGAAATTATAAGCTGAATTAAAACTGTTCCACTTCTGATCAGAACCAGAAACACTCCAGATGGGCTCAGCACAGCCAAGGGGGGACTGCTGCCACAGTGTAGAGGTGGGCAAACAAATCATGGAGGCAGCTACCTTTTGTTTTTTCAAATGTGAAACATTTCTCAATGGCTTAAGCAACAGGTATATAATTTAAAAGCTCAATTGAGATGAAGAAAGAAAAAGAATACATGCTCAGCTCCAGAGACATGCAAATGAGATTTGGGGACAGAGGGAAGTGCATTCATTATTTCCATGATCCCTGAATAGCAGCAGTGGGTCTGAGCATCTTATCTCCACCAAACAGGCCAGCAGGCAAGCCAGCTGCCACCTTGTCCTGCGCAAACCACAGGAACCATCCCCAAAAGCAGGCAAACGACTATCACATTTGTTCAGGGATGGCAAAATGGTTCAGGGTTGGTAGCCGTGTTTTCTGCACAACAAGACCTAACTGTTGTCATCTTTCTCTGGGACCCAGCCTCCCTGAACAGAGTAGAAAGACAGCCAGCTGAACCCTAACTGTTCTGCCCACAGGCTCCTCCCTACAGACCACACCTCAGTGCAACATAGTTTCCAAATCCAAGATGGAGAATCCATGAACAAACAACCTTCTGCTCCAGAAGGCACTGTAAGAAGGGAACATTAAAATCACATCTTATGGTTTTTTTTTCTAACAAAATCAGTATTTCTTACTGCAAATACTAAAAGATGTTTACCATTTATAACCAAAAATACTGTTTCTCATAAAAACCATAAAATGTAAATTATTCAGTGACCCCTCTTTCTGGAGAAGAGTAACACTATATGAAATTGAGGTACTGCCCCTAAAACCAAGATGATGGGCCCTGAAACTCTAAATATTTGAATTTTTAACTAACTTCGTATCAAGCCCCTTTAATAAAAATGATGTCAAGCAGACACACTTTTAGAACTAATTTGAAAATAAACCTTCAAACTGACACAGCTGTATCAAAAAAAAATGAAAAGAGAAAAATCGCTTCATTGCTTGTTAGAATTTTCAAAGATGATGTTAAACCCAGCCACTGTTCTGATGTCTAGGAAAGCAATTGCTATGGTACAAAAGGACGAGGGTTAAAAGAGATCAGTGGGAGCTCTATTTCCCAACTAACCCAGGCAGAGTGAGTGGAGGCTTTCAGTACAGCCCAGGGTGCCCAGAATTGAAAATTCCATCAACCCCTCCCTGGGTGGGAAATGCTGACATCTTCATTCCTATGACACAAGACCTTGAAGGCTGCTGAAAAACGCTAGTCCCATCTGACAGGCAGCATTTTCATTTATTGCACACCATTAAGGTTTGTTTGTTTTGTTTTGTTTTTGAGACAGAGTCTTGCTCTGTCCCCCAGGCTGGAGAGCAGTGGGGCAATCTAAGATCACAGCAAACTCTGTCTCCTAGGTTCAATCAACTCTTCTGCCTCGACCTCCCAAGTAGCTGGAGTAGCTGGGATTACAGGTCTGTGCCACTCCGCCCAGCTAGTTGTTTTTTTTTTTTTTTTTTAAACTAAAGTAAAGATGAGGTTTCACCATGTTGGCCAGGCTGGTCTTGAACTCCTGACCTCAAGTGATACATTCCCTCGGCCTCCCAAAGTGCTGGGATTATAGGCATGAGCCACCACACCCAGCCACCATTAGATTTTGGCTGGAATCCTTGTGCTAGATGCCATTATCCCACCAATCACTGAGCACTTCTCATTTCCTGCCCCTGGTGCTGCTGGATACTTTAGGGCAAGCTGCCGTCCCTGCCCACCCACCTGAGGACAGAAACCTCCAACTCTGCCTTGCCAGGAAAACTGACCAGTGTGTCTGACAGATGGTGAGTCCTTTGCTGTACATGGCCCTCAAAAAAATGAGACAATTCTTTTATTTACACCAAAGTAAGCAAATGCTGAAAGATCTTATAATGAAACATCACACTCCCCAATCTGGACTTACCAAGTCCACTGGCCAACCTCGTCATTATTTCTGATTTTAATTCTACTGGTGGCTATTTTCCACCTCTCTCTTTTTTTATTTTCATTTTTTGAGATGGAGTTTCGCTCTTGTTACCCAGGCTGGAGTGCAATGGCGTGATCTCGGCTCACCGAAACCTTCGCCTCCTGGGTTCAGGCAATTCTCCTGCCTCGGCCTCCTGAGTAGCTGGGATTACAGGCACGCACCACCATGCCCAGCTAATTGTTTGTATTTTTAGTAGAGTCAGGGTTTCACCATGTTGACCAGGATGGTCTCAATCTCTTGACCTCGTGATCCACCCGCCTTGGCCTCCTAAAGTGCTGGGATTACAGGCTTGAGCCACCACACCCGGCCCCACCTCTCTATTTTTTAAACTCTTTCTGGGTATCAACTTTGGATAATATTTATTGGCATCTCAGTATGAGAGGTGAGCTTGGCAGGCCACGAACTCCCAGGCTCTAGTGCAAGTGACCAGATGATCGCACCAAGCTACTGCAGTCACAGTCATGCAGAGGGGCTTTCCATTCTTAGCGGACCTGGGATAAAAGAGATCCTTCCAAGAGCTCTCGCCTAACTCTGGGAACAGAGAAGCATCCATTAGAAGGCCTGTGGTCACACAGCCTTCAGGATGGATACAGGCTCTTTTATTCACTTCATAAAGCACCAGAAAGGCTGGCACTAACATGCATGTCACTACCACACTTTGAAGGCAGGAACTGCCTCCTGCTCCAGTTTGCATCCTCTGCGCCCAGCACCTGGCCAATCTGCTCCAAGCAGGATAAGCAGGTAGCTCAGGCCTGTCCACCCAACCCTCACAAAGGGTGGAGGTGCAGAGAGCATGAGCAGCCAAGATGAAGTCCTCACAGGCTTCTTCGATTCTTTCTACTATGTGAGATATTCTCAATGTCTGAGGGATGAACAGCAAACAAAACGTCCTCTATCCATACAATGTGGACAGTAATCAACCCTAAGAAGGAAGGAAATTCTGATGCATGCTACAACACAGACGGGGCTTGAAGACATCATGCAAAGCAAAAGAAAGCCAGCTGCAAAAAGACAAATGACTGTATGATTCCACTCAGATGTGGCACCTAGAGTCATCAAACTCACAGAGACAGAAAGTAGAGGCTGGGTGCAGTGGCTCATGCCTGTAATCCCAACACTTTGGGAGGCCAAGGCAGGTAGATCGCCTGAGGTCAGGAGTTCGAGACTAGCATGACCAAAATAGTGAAACCCCATCTCTACTAAAAACACAAAAAATTAGCCTGGTGTGGTGGCAGGTGCCTGTAATCCCAGCTACTCGCGAGGCTGAGGCAGGAGAATCACTTGAACCCGGGAGTAGGAGGTTGCGGTCAGCTGAGATTACGCCATTGCACTCCAGCATGGGCAACAAGAGCGAGACTCCATCTCAAAAAAACATAAAGACAGATAGTAGGATGGTGGCTGCCAGGGGCTGGGGGGAGATGGAAGGAAGAGCTTCACCCGCTTCCAGCGTCCACCCCACCTCTCCTGCTCACACACACTCACACCCCATGGGACTCAGCCTGCAGCTTCTCCTAGCCCAGGAGCCCAAAAGCTGGACAGTAGGGAGAGGCATAGACCTCCCTTCCTAACAAATGAGAGGGAAGACTCAGTGCCCCATCACTAGTGCCATCTTCCAGTCCCAGCCCAGCCATGGATCCCACTCCAAGGGCCCCCCTGCCAGTGCTGCTAGCACCCACCGAGGGAGGGCTGCTGGCACACAGCCTCAAGCTCCAGCTTTATCCACTCACGCCCTGGACAATGCCCGGAGCCCCAGCAGGTTCTGTGTCACCCCAGCCCTCCTGCCCAAGAGATCATAAGTTCAGGAGACCCTCTCCAGCCCAGGCTGCAGGGGAAGACAACCCCCAAGGTCACCTAGGAGTGAGTGCAGAGGGAAGAGCATCCTGTATGCCTCGGACTGGGAAACACAGATTCTGTCTCCTACGTAGTGGCCACACCTCCTGGGACAGGAGAAACCCCTGCCTCACCTCACTGGGAAAGACCCTGACCCAGAGGTCTGAGAAAAAGCCACCTGCAGGCTCCTGGCACCTACCAAGCTGCACCTTAGGAAAACCTGTCCCACTTTAACCTGCAAAGCTCTCAGGTCCTAATTTCTTCTTTTTTTTTTTTTTTTTTTTAAAGACAGGGTTTCACCATGTTGGTCAGGCTGGTCTTGAATTCCCAAGCTCAGGTGATCCACCCGCCTTGGCCTCCAAAGTGCTTGGATTATAGGCCCGGTCCCCAGGTCCTAATTTCTAAAACCTCTGTCCTTTCTCAAAGAGGTCAGAAAAGAGAAAAAACAAACAAACAAACAAACAATAACAACAAAAAGAGGCACAGGAAGTTAAAGAGGCCAAAGGCAGTTTAGCCCCCCCACCCCAAAAAAGTGTCAGAGGCCTGATACGGAGTTTGGGGTGCTTGACCCTCTGCATGCCCATTTAGGAGCTGACTGTGCTCAACCAAGATTTATGTCTGGTCCCTGCCAAGTCTTATCTAAACAGATCTGAAAAAAATAAGCCTTCCTCCTTCCATTAAATACTAAATTAACACTGGCAGGCCCCTCTGAGGCTCTGCTCTCCACTGGGGTCCTCCAGTGCCCCTCACAAGTGTCCTCACCCTCATCCTCCCTCTGCATCGGGCCAGGAAAAAAAGTTAGCCCAGGCCTGAGCACACCGAGGCCCACTGCCCAGTCATAGAGCACTGCTTCGGGACCAGGGGCCTCAATGCTTTCCTTCACCATCTGCGGCCAGACCTCCCGCCGGCAGCCTTGCCAGGCAGTGCCTGCCTTGGGGAAGGGGCCCGGCCTTGGGGCAGGTCCACGCCGGGCCCCCAATCCAGAGCCTGTAGCACAGGAGCAACGGGGTGTTTAATTGAGAAAGTTTTCCCTCTGGGCCTTATTATAATAAAGGGGAAGGGAGGG